ATATATATAATATATATATGGCGGAAGCAACTATGGGTATGCAAGCAAGTGCAAGTGCATGAAACGAAGCATCTTGCCAAGGGTGTTCCTGAAAGCCGCTTCTAGGCGCTGAAGCAGCCGTACTCGCCCTTACTACTCGGAGTATTCAAATAAATAACCATCGGCCACAAAGACCGGCAATTGAAATCTTTAACAGTGCACCCGTCAGTGTGAGGCCCAAAGTTCTCCCCTTCTGTATACCTGCGCACGCATACCTGTGAGCAACACTGTCTTGCACTGTCCTGCAATGTTTTGTGTGTGTGCTATCCCTCTCTTGGCACTAGTTTGGCTCCTTGCTAATGCCGCTGCCTTCCGTCCTTGAAGACTTCCACTTAATAATGCACTCTGCTGCGGGTTCTACTTCTCTGTCGTGTCTCCTGGCATTCTCCACTTATATTTGCGACTGCGACTAACAAAATATGTGCTTTTCAGTAATGTACATCGCAGCAAGCCTAAGTCTATTCTCCGACGCAATTCGGTTGCTATAGGCCTGTGATTTGTGCCTGCTTATCCTTTGTTTGCTTGAGTATATACCTGGCAAACAACAGAGTACTGTTAACCCCGCAGGCCTCCCAGGTGCCCTCTAAGTCTCTTTCAAATCGTTCTCCGTCTTCTTCTGAGAAAGAAACCTCCCTAATCACATACTCCTTTACGCGTTGCTGTTACGCAAGCAAGACAGAGACAGACAGACACACCGGCACACCGGCACACACACGCACACACACACACACACACGCAAGAGATGACGCTGCCTTAAATGTTGCAACTAGCCGACGCTCAGTCTAGCTAGCTGGCTAGACCTCTACCTAGTTAACTACAACGATGCCTCCGTCTCGTGGGTTTTGCACTTGCAACGTCTTTAGGCACAAGCAGCAAATGGAACAGCAGCAACAACCATACTGTTCGCTATACCCTAGCCAACGTATGTCAAGGCTCGAATTATTAACGTACACCTAAAACTACGCCGACAAAACTTACAACAGCCCACATGCACAGACTGAATATCCTACTGTATCTGCAGCTCCTTTACGTTGTTCAAATCTATAGTCACGAGACTAAACTTCAATTCAAGGTTTAACCGTCCTGGAGCAAAACCTACTAAAGAAGATAAGGAGGCATTGGATGCCGGGGAATAACGTAGCTGACACAAAGGCTAGTTTGACATTTTGCTGAATCGATAGACTGAAGTGCATCCAAATCCCTATTTCAATCGAAGAAACTAGAGAGGGACACGTAAAATTATTTTGATTATCTCCCCAGTTCTAAGAGGAGAATCAAAACAACCAGCCTAGCAAACTGTCAATACTATGCAGTTAGCTTCTCGCATATCAACCTAGGTGGATTGCTTTGCTTCTCTAGACAGACCTACCCAGATGAGGTCAGCAAGATCCGGATGTTCCACTTCGACTGTGTGCGCAGACCGATAGTTGTGGTTTGCGCGTTGGCTCTCACTACTGCCGACGCTCCTGCTACTGGTGCTACTGCTACTGCTGCGGTGGCCGCCAATACTCCGGTGGTATTCATTATCGTTTTGGGCAAAGGTTCGGCCGGGTGCACTAGCCGTCTCTTTGGCCCAATACTCGAAGCCTTGCGCCTCCGCTGCTTCCACGAGTCGCTGACACTCATCTGTGGACAGGATGCACTTCACCTCGAAGCTGTCTCTGGCGCCTTGTATGTCTGTTCTGTGTCTCTTGTCCTTGTGATTTTCGCTTGAATCCGCCTGCTGGGTTGCCCCCAAAATAGAAGCTAGCGGCATCACCTTAGGACCCCAAACAACTGGTTTGTCGACTACCTGCTGCAGCCGTCGGGACCCGCCCCCTTCTTCGTGCTGCAGCTGCTGCTTCTGAGTTCGCACATGAAATCTCAGAGCCCTTTCTGCAGCGTCTTCTTCTTCAGAGAAGCAACACGGGCATCCCACTTCTGGATCCAGGGGCGCCTTCACCACCGGTTGCAGGGGCCCCATCGAGCTTGCCCTCGCTAAAAAGGATGAAATAAAGTGAGCGTGGGCCAGACACCTAACCGCATAGATAGATGCGAAAAATTCAAAGGGGAAAATCACGCAAAAGAAGACACAAAAGCCACAGCGGCGGGAAACCACCAGGAGATTAGCGTCTACCCTCAGCAAGCAAGCCCCACTTGCCCTCCTTCCTGGCCCTTCATGTGCCTATATAGGCACAAATAGGTACACATATTATTGTTTTCATCCAGTAAGTTTCTCCCTGAATGAGGTCGTCTGGTCTTCAGGAGACCTGTGACATCGGAAGCAATCCAAATGAGCCCCACGAGGGCCCCGTATCACAGTCAACGGAGGGGAAAACAAACATGCAGCGTACTGTGTCCATCAGATCACTTGAAAATATTTTTATTTTTATGTTTGCACCTCCATATGTGTGCTTCACATTAAGGAATATCATCTACACCATCTAAAGTGTTGGGAGTAGGGATTTCCCCATTGCTTTCACCGCGTCCTTCTATGGCGAACATACATTTAAAAGTGGAGTAAGTTGCTCAAAGAGACCTAATTAGTCTCAACTTATTTGATAACAACTTGTGATGCAGAGGCAGGAATGCCAATGCGGCCATCCCTACATCCCCCTCCTGCTGGGGCTGCACTACAGTAGCTTATGCCGACTTTGCTCTTTGCATTGTGGGCTCGCCTCCGTAAATGAGAAACAGAGCGAGAATAGCGGTGCCTATGAGGTGCATCGACAGCACACAGTGCATATGGCCCTACGCCCTGTCAAGCCATCATGAAACGGGGATATGCGCACTACTACCCTTAGAAACACAACAGACACTGCATGCCACCATACTACTCCTCTTGAAGTAAACATACACCAAAGCATACGGGAACGGTGCGTGTACTCCTACACACCAGCTCACACTGTAGCACGACCATCGGCACACTTTCGCATGAACGCCCTCGCTTTGCATTCCCTCCACCAGAGAAACACAAGATACACATCAGCGAAATGTGAAGCCCTTCAGCGTTAAATTAAACCCACAGCATCGCATGATGTATGCGGACCACCGCCCCCAACGGGCCTGAAAGTACGCAGTTGGTGCCTACGGGCTGAAAACACGCATGACACCTTGAAAACTAACAAGACACACCGAGGAAAACGGCGATTGCTACGAAGTAGTAAAAGCCTCCGCTGGCCTGCAAGCGGTAGTCGGTGTCAGTGCGTGGAGTTCGCAAAGGGGCAAGGGAGTCTGCAGCACAACCGCGCAGTACATGCGTTAAATTTTTTAGGGCAGCTTTTTTAGTGCTACACGCAACCGCGCAGTACATGCGTTAAATTTTTTAGGGCAGCTTTTTTAGTGCTACAAGTCGCCCAACGAATCTACTGGTGTTTGCCCAGACTTCGGGATAACTGCTCCAGAATCAAGGTGAACAGGCACACCCCTGCTTATGTCAGCACGATTTTATGCATTATCTATGATTAGCAAATTGCTGAAGATGCATCCATAGTCACTGTATGCAGGCCCAGCCTCTACGGCTATATGTTATCTCTGATACTGTTGATCTGTGCATGCGCATACATTGTTTAACACACAGTATATGAAGTGCGTACCGTATACGTGTCGACAAGTTGTGTGTGCATGGGACATGCACACTACACATTACACGCACAACGTTGCAATTACAGTGCACAACCTTTTAAGTTGTTTCTTCCACCAGCAGTTGCACACGCACCGGAGTGCCCCTACTCACGAATAAGCAGCGAGCTGTAGCCAAGCCTGGCGTGGCGCACTACGAATTTCAGGATTCCCGCTCTATCTGGGGCCTGCGAAAAGAAGAGAACACAGTCGTAGACGTGCTGGGGGTAGAACCAGAGGCAAACGGTGAGCATGCTGCTTCTTCCCTGTCATCCTCCGCAGCCACAGCATTTTCAGCAGCTGGGCTGCGCCACTCCGTCTATTCACGGCTTGTGCAGTGTTCGCCGTTACGCTGCTGCAACTGAGTCTCTACATCGTGCAGAGTTGAAAGAATTCAGTGTAATCAAGTGAAAAATCTTGCAACGCTCCATAACCCTAAACCTGCATCATGATTCCAGTCTATCATAATTTTTAAAGCCTTTAGAAATAAGCCCTTTACTCGATCACCTTAAATTCAGCAGAGAAAGTAGGGCTTTCCCCTTCCCTTTGAAGGAAGAGCCTCAGCAAAGGGTCTCCCAAGACGTACTCCACCTGAACGTCGTGGCCTTCAAACGGCCGCCACGCGCCTGAGGCCGCAAACACTATACCCCAACCCTAAACCCTAAATCGTCAAGCTCAGTGCCAGAACCCACCCTTTCAACTATGGGGAGAGCGAGTGTGGGTGCAGGTCAGTGACTAAGGTTAAGACTCTAGAACTGCGGGCTTAGAAAACGCGAACAAAAACTTCAAATGCACTATAGGGATAAAAATATACTAGCCTTCTTTCAGTTCGTGTAAATCCACAGAAAAACGCAATAGGTCGCCTACAGTGTACAAACGGCTGCTCTCGCCGCCAACCTGCAAGTCAACAACAAAAACCATCAGTGCAGACGAGCCTGATCCTTCACTCATTACCATCGTAAATAGCCGCACCAAGAGTTGTTGTTCATACAAAAGCAGCTGCAGCGGCAGCAAAGCAATGGCACAAGTAGCAACCGTAAGGACAGCAGCAGCAGAAGCAGCAGCAGTTGAAGGAGCAGCTGCAGCTGCAATCGCAGACCTTGTGGTGCTTCACGTTGGACCATCGGAGGACTCCCTTTCTGTTGAGGGCCCAAGCTGTCGCTTCAATGCAAAAGCGTTTATTCACAACTTGCTGAAGGACAACACACACACCGACCCCACAGTGCTTACCAGAAGCAGCATAGCCCTTAGCAGCAGCAGCATCGCCAAAAGCTTATGCAGCAGCAGCAGCAGGCTGACGAATTTGTATCCAGCAAAAGAAATGTCGTCGATGGTTGTGAAGATGCCACTACACGCCTGTGGACCGCTTAGGAGAAGAGCTCTGTTGTTGCCCCGTGTTTGCAGCGCTGATGCGAAAGTCATTCTGCTGCTGCTGCTGCTACTACTGTAGCTGCTCTGGCTGCTGTTGCTGCTTTTGCTGGTTCCGTCTACCGCAAACGCCGTAGGAGGTGCCAGTAGCAGGGGAAACGCATAGGGAGGTAGAGGTTCCTTCTCACAATGCCGAGCCCCACAGCCGACCTGAAGAGCCCCAAGGTGATAGCCGCCGCTGTACAGCAGCAACTCATCTGCAGCGCACATGAACAAGCTGTAGCAACAGCAGTAGCCGCGACAGTTGCAGTAGCACCAACGGCACATTCAACCCTGGCGGCACGTTCCCGAACACCAGAATACCCAGGCGAAACCAACAGCCAGTAGCGTGTGAAGCGGTATTAACACAGACAGGTGCAGCAGCATTGACGTCTGTTTCACCGCGTCGCACCCTCAGCGAGTGGAGTGACAACGTGTGGGTGGCCCTCGAGAAGTTCTCGAGCAGCAAATACAGTCCCCCGAGCTTGCTGTTGCTTCTGCAGCTGCTGAGTTAAGCGATCAAACGAAATTGCACCGAACAGGTCTGCTGCTCGCTGCTGCAAGAAGGAAGGAGCAACAGCAGCCGGGCCAAAGAGAGCAGCAGCCAGTTGCAGGAGAGATGGGGACGCAGCGGGACCAAGTAAAAGCAATAACGACCGGCTTTTCTCAAGCGGCGAGTAGTACTGCTGCTGCTCAGGCGGAAGTTGCTGGTGCATATCTTCTTGGGTCAGCCGCGGCAACTGGTGCTTCTGCTGCTGCTGCGGCTGGTGTTGCTCGTGCTCGGCACCTTGAGACTCCTCCCCGCCGCCGTCGAACCACTCCACAATAGCATTAACTGTTTGTTCCGTCATATCTTTGGGGATGTAAGCAACAAAGCAAATATACAACACAAGACGGGAGGGCGTGCAGAAAAGGAGGCAAAACAAGGATTGGCACGGCACAACTCACAAGAAAAGGGAGGAATTCGGTTACCAGAGAAGTGATCATGAAGCAAGAGAAGTGCTTGATGCATAGGAGAGAACTTGCAGCAGAAAGACAGCCGTATCATCAAGTGACTATGAGCCTTGACAAAGACGGAAGGGCACAAAGAGGCATTGAAGGCGACCACCGGGGGCATCCAAGGTCAAGAGAAGAAGAGGGAAAACAGAAACACACACCCGAATACCGGGACGGCAAACAGCCAAAAAAAAACATCGAGAGACGAAACACAAAACAGGCAGAAAGTATTCCCAGGTGAAAAAAGAAGAACGGGTGGGGCTACTACACGGCAACAGACAAGACAAACGCGCAGAGGAGTTCGCTTCTAAAGTTGGGATGCACACGATGCAGGGTTATTGACATATATTTATTCACTAATGCCCAGTGCAGCGTACGGTGTTTGTCGGAGGTGGACAAAATGAGAATAAAGTTGAAGAGGGACTCCCCAAAAGCAAACAAGCGGAGGTCAGCGGAGAGTGGCAGCGCTGTAACTGCAATCCCTGCAGTGTCTGTACGTACACAAAGGACACACGAACAGTAGAAGATACTGGTAGAAGAAAAGGCAGCGACGGCTATTTGACTCCGTTCAACTGTCAGTAGACCTCAATCCGGCGGCCTGTTGACAGTCTTGGAGAGCCACTGGATGGCATTCAACGGCTGAAGTATGACAATAAAAAGCACAGGAATGATGACACACAAGCTATGTACAGGCATTACAATACAATGTTTCACATAGTGCAGCGATATCTCTACGACCGAGACAAAAAAGAAAGGCACCCAAAAGAAAGGCACCTCACCTTCAATGTAAGCCAGAAGCGCTGGGTACTGTTCTCGGGCCATCTTGATCGCATCATTCTCCACGTTACTTTCCAAGGGGAAGTCATGCAGTAGCAGCAGCCGAGGGTTGTCGTGCTGCTGCTGCCGCCGCTCATAGAAGGAAGCTACAGAAGGTGCGTCTGGCGGTGAAGGAGGGACGGGAACAGGTGCGGCGACACCAAATGTGTATGTGCAGGCAAATAAAAAAAACCCAAGGAACAAGAGGGCACTTGCAGCCGACAACTTGCCTACATTATTATTGGCAGGGGGGTCCTTGAGGGGCCCCCCATGGGGGCCCCCAGGAGTGGAGGGTCTAGGGCCCTCCCTAGAAAAATCCAGAGTCATCGAATTTTGTAGTTGTATGATTCAAGCAGTGAATAGGAGACAATGCGGGTCGACATAAAAAAATGAAGGGGAGACCAAAACCTGGCCCCGCGCGGTCCTACCCCCTTGGTGTACCGTGGTCTATGAACAATTAGACGAAAGAAAAAACAGGAAAATGGCAAATAGTCTTCTTTTAACTACTGTAAATGGGGGGATGCATAAATTGACAGCACGAAGAGACGCTAAACACTCTGCGGACTACGGATTGCTCGTCTTCTCTTCTGCTGGGGCTTCGCAGGGCCCCTTGGGTCCACAGAGTCCGGAAGGCAGAAACAGTGAAGAAGCTCAACTGTTCTGGCGTATATTAGAAGAAACCATTCTAACAAATAACTCCCTTTGACTTTCCGTTAAGTGGTTAACTCCGCTTTTACCCTTGCAGATCTCCCGACTGATTTTTTGTGTCTAAGACGGGCTCATGGCTGGTGGCCGTCTTTTTTCTCTTCATTTCAGCGATCAATTTATATTTTCCCTTTGGTTTCCGCTTCACGGCTTTCCCCGTTTGCAAAGGGAGGATGGCGCGCCACAGCAAAAACGCCACTTCGGCTCCATTTTACTCGTACCACGAACGAAAGAAAATACGGGGTGAGCCTTTTGTTGAACATTCAGCTATTCGCCCACTGTAGGAGTTGTGCATGTGTAAGCACAGATGAAGTGGCCGAGCTGTAAGTACACGGAAGAACCCGTTGTTGTGGCATTTACAGCGGACCGCATTGACGTGTATTTCCATTGCGGTAGCGGTAGTAGAATGCACAGTCCAATGCTTTGGTGCCTGCCTGCAAACGGTAACGCTTTCTACCCTACTCCATCATTTTGTTCCGCTTTCAGCACCTGTATTTTTCGGTCTTTCCCTCTTTGCAGCTCTTGGTGTCGGTACACTCAAAGGACGATTGGATACCCGCGCATGCAGGCGCTTTGAAAGCTGCTGGCTTTGTCTCAGTCCCGCCAGAAATCCCCTAGCTACTCCTCAGGTGCTTTTTCTAGGTTCTTCCCCTTGTGATTTGACTTTGGAGGTTGGGAAGTGAGTAGAGCTCAACGGTTCCCGTTGTGCGCAAGCATGCTTAGAGGACTATGTTTGTTTGGGCCACCGCAGGGTTTGCTGTTTTGCAAAGAGTGCCTCTTCCTCAATTTTGAATCGCAAAAGAAAAGAATGCAAAGGGAAGAAAAGGAGTGGCAGGCCCTTCAAGCTCAGAAGGAACAGGCAAGCCTCAGACCCGACTCCCTCTTTCCACTTGAGAGAGAGGGCGCCACAGCCTCTGCTGTCTATAGCCCAAAGTACCGAGCAATCCACGAACACGTTTATCAGATTGAGCTATTTTCAAAGCAGTAAATGCTCAGAGCTCGAACGCTATGCCTGTCCTCTTTTGCTTGGGTGGGCCTGCGCGTATCCTGTGTCTCTTAGGATGCAGCAGCAGCAGAAGAAGCGGCAGCCACGGCTGCCCAGCGCGCCTTCCTAGAAGCCGAGGCCTCTCTCACCCCCGCCACCTCCACCACTGTTGCCCCCAATACCAGCACCGCCCAGACTGCAGAAGAATTTGTGAACAAACCCTACACCTAATCTTAAGACTTAAGATCCTCATTTGTCAGGGAGGGAGGCTGTTAGCGGTCCAGGGAAGGGGACGGGGGTGACCAGGGTGGGCCACCCGGATTGGTAGCTAGACGTCAAGGAGCTGGAATGAGGGTTTAGTCAGCCACTAGGATCTAGAGCTATGGGTTTGTTGAACAGTTAGGGGTTGAGAGTTTATCTATGAGTCTGTCTGTCTTGATGACAGAGGCGAACACTGGAGCAAACAGCCATCACGTCTAAGGAGGAGGCGAGGGCGAAGAACTTTTGGGTACGTTTTAAAGATCAGATTAGGCTTACATTTCTACGGTTAGATGCTCCGATGCGCATGCTGCTTCTAGTGCTGCTGCTGCTGTTGCAACGCAACGGACTTTAGTTTCTCCTTGATGGTGGGTTCTTCACTCGGCTGTGCATATCTGTGGGATCCCCGAGGCTGTAGGATTAAGGGTTAAGTCTGAAGCGTGCTTCAGGTGCCGGAAAATACACCAGATGAACCTGAAGCGAAGCCCAAGGCTCCGCAGAAGTAAGCGTCGAAGCCCTGTGTGTGGCGAAGGGGCTAGTGTTGATGGTTTAGGGTTCGCAGATTACTGCGGGATTGCTTGCCTGGTAGAGGTGTTTCAAGCCGCCGCATACGCTGCTTCATCAGCCGCTTCCTCTTGCGGTGCTATATACAACACGTTGTTCATCCCTAAGTGATATGGTGCATCACGAGCCGCTAGCTGTTGTTCTATTTGTCTTTGAAACTTCGCTGCAGAGGCCTCTGTTGCCCCATAACGGGTTCGCCATTGCGCATAAAGCAGCTCGTGGCGGTGAAGCCAAATGTGGCTTCTGAAAAAGACACAGAGAATACGCGGTATGTCGGGATTCAAATTTGACTTCGGCCTGCCGTTTGTTTCCTGTTTCTTTCTGTTTCTTTCTCCATCATGTATGCTACTTGAATGCATTCCATGGTGTTTGCGAATTCATTTCTTTTACTCGGTGCTTGTTGTTTTCTACGCACAGAGCGCTTCGGCTCTGGGTTTCGGTTTTGTCTTCTGTTCACTTATGTTCCTTGTTTGTGCTTGCTGCCTTCTCCCGTTGAAAACGGCCGTCATTAAATCCGCCATGCTGCTGGCTTGATGGCTGTGTTGATGGCTTGCTTTGCCGTCCACACCGCATTGTGGAGGACAAAGCGAAGAAAAATGTCAAATGGAAAAGAAAAATGTCTAAAAGACGGAATAATCGACATTTTTTAAGGCAGCACGGCATTTCAGCGGAGCCTCTGGGGCCCCTTTGTAGCTCCACCGCATGGTGTCTGTCTCGTTTCAGTGCTCGCGTTTGTGCTTGTGTCGGTTCCTGGTCGAAATGCATTCTTGACATATGACGTTTGGTAGGCGAGGTCTGGCGTTTTGCTTGTGAATTTGTTAACGCCTGTTTCGGACCCTCTGTTTCTTTGAATCGATATACTTTGGCCTGTGTTTCGGTATGGTCTCTTCTGTGAGGGCTTTCTTTCCGATGTAGCGTTCCCCCATAATTGCTCTGCCGTCATTGTCCTTGTTTCTTCCCAGGTGGCTATGTGCTCTAAGCGGCCGAGAGATTTCGCATCAGAAGGCGGCGGTGGTTAAAGGCACAGGCCAAGTCATTCTTCTCGTCAGTTCAGCAAGTTTTGCGCTTGCATTTGCATGGGGATGTGTTACCAGAAGCCCGTATATTCTGGCAAACATGTTGGGTTTAAGGTTTGACGTTCACTTCCCAGGAATGTACTGGAGCAGCTCGAGCTTGCATTCATCGCCAAATGGGTTTAACACTGGTTTGTGAATCTGCACGGCATTCTTGTAGGACGGAAATTACCTTTTGTGTATATGCTGCTGGTGTGATGCTGGTCGGAAGTTCTATAAACCTTTCCGAGGCCCCTAACCACCTGCTGCTTTGTAGCTTGTTTTCCCATGAGGGGGTCCCCCGCTGTAGTTTCGTGGGTCTGGGATGTAGTCGTAGGGTGACTGTCTTTTCAAATAGCTTATTTGTGTGTGTATGCATGCGTGTACCCTTCTCTCTTGCCCATTTATGGCGGTTATGCGCATAAGTCTTCCCGGCGACCCTGGTTTGCATGATTGCTCTCTCGTATCCCAGTGCCTTGTCTTGTATTTCGTTCTCTTTCCAGCGACGGCTCACTTATTCTAGTAGTTCCCGTTCATGAACTGGTTTGTGCGTACGCTGGGGTGCACGAACACAGGAGTATCTGGAAAAGCTGGTCTTTGGAAAAAAGGGAGCTCTCACCTCTGGTATAATTGAAAAGAAAGACACTGTTGCTCTTGTCCCTGGAGGCACAGGTGGGAGTTCGCACACAGGGGCAACAAAAGCTTAAGCAGCAGCAACAGCGACAGTAGAAAAGGGAGTACTGGTGAAAGCACCAGGGACAGCAGCAACAGTGGCAGTGCCAGCACCAGCAGAAAACCGGATAGGGCTTGATTAAGTTGAAGACTTCGCTTTTGCCCCTGCGGCTGTTGCTATGTTTGAACAGGTTTCAGTGCACACAATAAGGTGGAAGTGGCAGTGGCCCGGCCTAATGTGCAATAGATGCTCTGGGGATCTCTGCCTGTTTTTCTTGTAGTGGGGTCGACGTGCTCTGTAGCAGCGATACGCTGAGGTGCCCATAGGCCCGAACCTGTCTCTGCCGGGCCTAGCACAACACTTATTTTTGGTCTTTTTAACTCCACTTGTTGCATCCAGCGGATGATATTGCTATTGGTGCTGTTCAGCATCTGATACTGCTGTAGACTTTATATGCACAATGCACATTTCTTATCACACCAACTCATTTGCATATAGTATATCTGCATGCATTTTCCAGTTCGCTACCCTGTAGTTGGGTGGGGATTCCCTCAGAGGCAACGCGCATTGCTGTGCCTTCCTTTTCCGTTTCCCACGTGAAAAAGCGATGGTAGCCAGTTAGCTAGCTATTAATCGCAAACACATATCATGCGGAGCTAGCCAGTTGCGGTCTTTGATTCTCATGCTGCAACGCCTTCAGCTGTCTCGTGCCCTATGCTTGAATATCGCATGAACCTGCGAACGAAACCGGCCAGCTAGATAGCTACGTGTATCCAGCTCGCTGGTTACAGCTGGCCAGCTAGCCACGCGCTGCCGGCTGTTGCTCTCGGAAGGAACTCTATAATCCCTGTACAACCTGCAGTTCTGAAGTCGCGCAATTCGTCACCACGCTGCAGCCCCCGCTTTTTGAGGCACAGAAACGAGTCACAGAAGGGCCATTGGAAGATCTTGCGAGAGGCTGCGTGCCAAATAGACTGACGGAGGCAAGGGGTGTCTTGCCGCTGCTGCTCAGACTGCTGTTTCCGCTGCTGCTGCCGCTCGATCCTGTTGCGTTGCTGCTGCGGGGGGGGAGGTCAGAACGGCTACCGCTCAGGGAGCGGCTGTGCACGACCAAGCGAGTGCTCTTGCTGGTGATTGCTGCAGCAGGCCGCCGATCAGTTGCAGCAGCGATACGGTTGCTGCTTCTGCTGTGGGTACTGCTGTGACTGCTGGGGCGGAAGAGGGCTTTTAGAGTGCTTATGTGTACAATCCTCTTCACAGGACTACCCCTTCCATTGGAGCTGCTGGTGCTGCTGCTGTTGCGTTTGCTGGCTCTGTGGGAATGGGAAGATGACTGGGCCTGAGAAGATACATGGAGCAAGCCTTCGCCGTAAGCCAAAACAAAAGGGCGTTTTTCAATGCCCTCAAATTTCACATTTAATGTGAGATTAAAATGGCATGAAGGCAAGAACGCAACAACAGAGGCAAGCAGTACGAGCTATATCTCAGTGCCCAATAAAGTGCAGCATATTTCGACGGACACTCCGATTGCCACCGATCAAACTTTAAAGGGTCCACAGAAACTGCCGTCCCAGCAGTGGTATGCAGTGGGTGTACACCTGAAGGCTGCTGGAGGAAGCGGCCGCGTAAGCCACGACTGTTTCCTTCACGGCCTGCAGTTTCCTTTTGAAGGCGTCGATGTCTTCGTGTCTTCGTTGTTCAGCTGTTGCTAACTCAACTTTCACGTAAACCAGTTCCTGAGGTGTAGACAAACGTACAAACGAAGAATAACTAGTAGCTCCTGAAGAACGCAACTTACAAACAAGAAAACAGAGGTGAGCCAAACTAGACCGACGGAACCAACGACAGCACAGGGAGACCAAGAAACGGAAGAACGCAGGCAAATACAGACAAATACAGATGCGCACACAGAACAAAAATTGAATGCATTAGGAAAGGACAAATGCAGAGTCATCGGAAGGCGCAGTTGATGGGAACAGGCAAAAAAGCAGGTGTTGACGAGCAACGTAGCAAGAGTCGCAGAGACCATCAGTTTCGCTTAAAATGCTGGGGATTGTAGCCACAGCAACGGAAGCAACAGGATCAAAACACCCACCACGCTAATAAGGAAGAGCCACCCCCTCAACTTCAAAGCATGCGCTTACTCTCTCGAGTTCCTCTATACGTCGTGTTTTTGCCGCTAGTTGCAGGTCTTGCTCTCGTTGTTGTTGCTCTTGCTGCTGCTGCCACTCCCGTTGCTGCTGTAGCAGCAGCTGGTGCTGCTGCTGGGCGCAAGACCAGGCTGCCTGGCTGGGTAGTCGCTGCAGCGTTTCCTCTTGGCAGCGAATCTTCTCCCTGCAGCAGCAGCGAATGGCAATAGAAGCAACATCAAATAGATCAATATCAGTGGAAAGCAAGCAAAAGCATGCCACACAACAGGCTTGTGGCTGGAATTGCTTCAACGGCAAAGGCAGACGAAACAGCAGACACATGTTCTTGAAAGCTACTTCTGCTAAACTCGCTGCCGATTCTGCTGCTTCGTCTGTTGCATTTGGTGCCTCAGTACCTGAGAGCCTCTGCCTCCTCCTTGAATGTGTTCAGCTTCTGCATCGTTTGCTGCTGAACCGCCTGCGCTTCTCCCTGTGTACACGCACCGGACGCAGAATAGAACTACAGCCACTGCTGCTGCACTGATTGACGCTGCTGCTGCTCTTGCTGATGCTGTTTACGGGCATGGTGGCTCACTTGCTTTTGTTGCATTTCCTGAAGGGCTCTTGTCAGTCCGGCGATCATTTGGTCCTTGGCCATACGCAACGCCTCTGTTGTATCTGCAGCCTCCACGAGCTGTACATACGACCCACCGAAGACGTTGTAAGTAGAACTAGAGGGCATATAATACTGTTGCTGGTCTACTGCTTTGCTGTTGCTGCCTACTAAACTCCCTCCTACCGGCATGAACGTATAGTGAGGTAGCTACAATACAGGTATGCGACAGTTCCTGCTCATGCACCTGTTGTTACTGCTGCTGCTGCCGATATGCTGTTGATAAAACAACACCTGCAGCCCATGATGCAACCCATGTGCTGATGACGGTTATACGGCGACTAATGCCGACTGATGCTGCTTAAATGATGCTGCTGTCGCGGCTGATGCTGTAGCACGGAGTGTTTGCACATCCTGGCGTACCTGGCGCTGGAGCGATATGATTTGCTGTTGCAGGACTGCTGCAGGGTCTGCGCTGGGGTGAGCATCCTGCTGCACCAATTTCTGCTGTAACAATTGCTGCTGCCGTACCTGCTGGTGCAGCTGCTGTTGCAGCAAGCGCACTTCCTTCAGTGCTGCTTCCCTTTCCTTAGTCTCATCAGCTAGCTTATTTTGGAGCTGCTCCTTCTCGGCTTTCCATTCCTCTGCTTGTTGCAACACGCGCCCTAATTGGTCTCCCTCCGGCTGTTGCTGTTGCTCATGCTGCTTCTGTTGCTGCTGGTGTAGCTCCTCCAGCTGTTTCTGCAGCAGCAAACCACAGCATCAAAAATGTGCAGCACATGGTTGTGCCGCTACCTTTTGCACCAAGGAGATATGTGTTGCACTTCAAACAAAGGAACAACCATCCTCAGCGGCAGAAGCAGCTGCTACTACTGCAGGCCGGTGGACTGAATGAGGAAAAAGCATACCTTGTACGCGTCAGCAATAAGTCGCATCCCATCTCTCTCTGCCTGCAACTGCAACAGCTCCTGTTGCTGCTCGCTGTTTTTCTGTTGCATCTCCTGCTGCTGCAGATGCATTTCATGCCTGTTCCTTTCCAGATGCTGCAGCCGTTGTTCGGCGTCCTGCAGCTGCTGCTGCAGCGCAGCAACAACTACAGAGCTGTCTCCCTTCTCCCTCTCTTGTTGAAGTTGCTCCGCCTGCAGCAGCGGCGGACAGAAGAAGTAGCCCCACAGGCTGTACATGAGACAGCAACAGCAGCAGCACTACTAGCAGCGCTGGCAAGTCGTTGATTCCTTGTGGTTTGCTTATGCCCAGTGCTGCTGCATACTGCTGCCAATTGCTGCTCCTGCGCTGCAGCCAGCGCCGTGTGTAACTCGTCTATTTGAGCGAACAGCTGCGCCAACTGCGGGGCCGCTGCCTGGCGTTTCTCTGCCTGAGACACCAGAGACAAAAATGTCCTGCAGCTACCACTGGTGCTGCTACCGCTGCTGGAGCTGTCCCTAGTGCTCGTACCGTAGGAAGTTTGGCCACAGCCCGAATAATTACTTGCGGGCAACCATATCTTGGGCGTGTGCTGCTTCCCTTGCTGCTGCCGCTTCTGCAAGAACGGAGCTTACTTCCATGAGGGCTACTTGGCGCTGCAGACTCGCTATCAATTCGTCCTTTCTTCTCAGTTCAGCTTGCCGCTGCTGCCGTTGTACCTGCCCTTGGTGTTGCTGATGTGTCTTCTGCTTCGGCTGTTGCTGGCGTTCTGCTGGGGATAGCACTGCAGGGGTAGTTGCAGTTCCTGTGGGCCCGAGCTCCTGCACCTGAATACAACCAGCAGCAGCAAGTTGGGATATACAGCCGCAGCACTGTAAAGGACCCACGGAAGCAGCAGTTGCTGAGGCGTACCAGTGGTCGCTGAGCTTTGCATGCGGAGGAAGCAATTTGTGTTCCCTCCTTTCCAGTTTGTGCCGCTGCTTTTTCCGTTACTGTTGGTGCTGATGCCTTAGGCTCCTGCTGCTGGTTCTCTTCTTCCAGCGTAGGCGTCTCCAAGGAAGAAGGCAAAGTTTCTTTGTGAGGCAAACGCAACACAAAGGGCTTCTCGTCTTCCGCTACCAGCGCCATTGGTGTTGTTCCGGGAATGACGGACGCTTTTGGTGCTGCTGTTCTTATATTTGCTGGTGTTGCTGCAGTAAGCTTTGAGGGGGCTGCCGCTGCAAGTACAGAGCACTCTGCTACTGTGTATGATGCAGATGTAGGGTTTAGGATGCGGTTTAAGCTGCTTGGGTGTGTAGCTTGAGAGCTCCAAAGGAAGGCGCGCAAACGAGAAGCGCAGGGACAAAGCCAGAAAAGCGCAGCAGCAGCAGGTGGAGCACAGTAGACAGAGGGACACACTAACTACGAAAGCGGAGGCAACAAGTGAACATAAGCAGCGTTAGCAGCAATAATTCTTGCCTCGAAGCCCCTGGGGTGACGAAGTCCGGGTATTCTGTGGAGGCGATTGAAGAGCAGAACAAACGGAAAGGCAGTCCTCCTCATCTGGGCAGCAGCAAATAACAGAAGCAACAACGCAGCAGACCTTGCAGGAAGGCCCCAGAAGCTGACAGCAATAAATGCCTTTGGGAAGAAGCCACTGCTACTGCAGCACCAGGTATATTTCAGGGTTCGGCTAGGATACCCAATACAGCAGCAGCAAACGCCTGGCAACGCTGCTGTTGCTGCCCCCGCAGCAGCAGCGGGAGCAACATATGCTGTTGCTTTTGTTGTTGCTCTTGTTCCAGCTGTAGATGATGCTCCTGTTACAGGTGTTGCGATTGTAGTACTGGAAGGGTGCGAAGAGTTTTACCTGCACAGAGGCCCTCGAGTCTGTGCAGAGAGACGGAGACAGTAATTTGTCCATCCGCCTTTTCTAGCGGCAGGTGGAGCGTCTGGGGCTGCATGCCAGCGCAATGAGCAGCGGCAAGAGAGGCAAGATCTATGGAAACCTCTGCTACGAGAACGCCAGACTCCCGAATTTCCGCTGCAACTTCAGGGGATAGAGAAGTGGAGGCAGAAGCAGAAGGGTCTCGAGGCAGCGCAGACACAAACGAGACGGAAGGCGACGGCCGCATGCGAGACAGCAGGCGGCCCCCCAGCCGCCGAGACTTCGACACATCGAGCAGCTACAGCAGGCGCAGTAACAGCAACTACGTAAAAATAAGGACATGAGTAGCAGAACAAAGGAGCAGAGACACCATAACACACAAACAACAGGCTAACAACAAGCCGGCAAACACCAAAATAACAAAAAAAATGGAGCCAGATATAAGATTCAATTGCCGTCGCCACGCACCTGAAGCTGAGCTTTTTTTGGCAGAAACGGCGCCCCATCAGCAGCAGCGCCATCTGCTGCATCTCGCATCTCTTCAGCGGTCGACTTCTGTCTCTTTAGGCTGCTACTACTGCTGGCCTGTGGGCTGCTCTTGGGTTTGAAGAGGGTTGCGTTGCACTGCAGTGGAATGTTCATTGACAATTCATTAGTGCCTTTGGACAATTCTACCGTTGCATTACCACGCACACGACGGGGGCCTGAGACACACAGTCAGCGCAAGGCATATCTATAAGGTCAATTGGCAGTCTCCACAACAGAAGCAGAAGTAGCACAAGTGACAATGAAAGTCAGAGCAGCGATCAAAATAAATAGTGCCAAAGCAACAACAGCAGAGAAGCAGGAGCAACAACAGTACCACCGGGAGCACCAACTGCCGCAACAGGAGCAGCACCAGCTTCGCTGCAGATGTGGATGATTCTTGCTGACCTCTGGTGAGGTCTACGACAATCGTCGCCGGTTCATCTGCATGAATTTTTAGGGATACCACAGAGAAACAAAATGTAAATTTCGTTGGTGCCTCCCGGAGATGACGCACAGCCCTCAGCACGCGCGACATGCTTGCGGCTGTGAGTTACACTGTTCTTTCTAGCAAGTGGGCATGAGCCACTGCACTTGCAGCAACTCTGAATGTCGGCTGTTGTTTATGCAGGAATGGAAGGAAGGCCTGTTGTTGCTGTACCAGAAGGCGGCCGTGATTCCCGCCAACTGCACTCCTGTAGATCTCGCGGTCAATCGGCTCTCTCTCAAGGCTCAAGGCTCGCCAGCTGTTTGTTTCTGCCGGATTCACAGACGTTGGCGAAAATGAAAACCTGAGTAGAGATGCCGCGTGTCATGCACAGCAATCGTGGGGTTCCCTTATTCTTTTATTCGAACCAAATCGGTTTAAAGTCCTCTCCTGCAAAGCGGGTTTCTGAAGGACCGGCATCCCTGTTATTGCGCTCCTTGTTTTGGTTGGTGACGCGGCTCCAGCTCCCCGTGTTGCAGCCGAATGAGAGACGGAGTGAGGACTAATGGGTGGAGCAAACGAGTAAAACAAGCACAGAGGTAGGACCTTCCTCCTTGGTTGTGTTTGGTTTGACGTTACGCGAATGGAAAAAGGAAGCCCCAAGAGGAAAAGCCGTGATGACACCCGTGTGGGAGCCTACGGTGGCGGGGGGTCGGTGGCGACAATTCAGTCAACCTTGTTAGGTTGGATGGTACAAAACCCATTTTTGGCTACATAATAGCAAACGAACATGCAAACAAAACAAAGAGGGTGCAGAAGTCGCCACCAACGCCCAGTTAGTCGCTCACGCTGCACGTACATGTCGCTTGCCACGAGCGTAACAGCCTCGGAGTCGGCTGCTGTGTTTTTTTGACCCGTCTGTTCTCAGACAAGCCCAGCGGCACTACAAAAGGTTAGCAAGATTTTTGTAGACTGTTTGTGATGGTTTGGTTGCCCAGCTTCAGCTATTTCAGTGAGCAGCCTTTGTCCTTGCTTGAAGTAAGCAGAAACCGGGAGCGCCCTGGGGCTCATCAGGCTGAATTCTCCTTTTGTCACACACTAACAATTAAAGAAACGACTTATTTCCTCTTGATCCCCAAGAGCACTCTTGCTGGAATCTATTAAGTGCGCTGTGTTATTCCCTTACCTCCCGACGTTTTGCCGCTATTCAGCAAGGTCTGCGCCACGCTGGCCTGACAATGTGAAGTTTGCGCATAAAGCGAGAATCAGCCCTGGTTATCAATCGGCAACCGAGAAAATTCTTCAACAACTGTATACAGCTACAGTGCATGCAGCGAAGAAGTCTTGTGTTGCTGTGCTTGTGGGGGGGGCTGTCTTCTTGCATTAGTTGCGGCGCGGTCTGACGCTGTTCGTGGCAGGCAGGTTTCTCTCTCTCAATTCCAGGTGCTTAGGACGCTGCTCATAGGAAACGTAGAGACTAGGGATGGTGGATATCTGCTATCGCGGAATCACAGTACAAAGTAATTTGACTCCATTGCAGCGCCCTCTTTTCCTTTAATGAGGTCGGGGGAACTCGTGGCGCAGGCCTTTTTTGCTGCACGAACTATCACAGTAGACAATTGCCCAGGGACTTATTCCCCTTGCTTGCTAACCCTCTGCCCAAACCGCGAAAGTGTTTATGGGCAAACTCATATATAGCGCAAATTCGTCGGTGTGGAGCATACTCAGGCCCCAACTCTCCCCTGCCTGCAGGCTAGTGCCTGCTTGTGATGTACTCTTATGCCTGTTTTCGGCATGTTTCGAGATTTGCAAAAGCACGTTAGCAAAACTAAACAATGAATGGATTTGTGGAACCTGCAAACTTTCACGTTGCTCGCCTATCTTCGGAATCCGGCACTGGTGTCCCACTTGGATTTTCGGAGAGTTTGAAATCGACCTCCATGCTACACATCGTGTATTTGTGTCTTCGCCAGCGCCACTTTATGTCTAACTCCCCTGGTGGACTGTTAACCTTTACCTTTCTTGAGTACTTTGCGAGGTCGGCTGTTGGTTCCCACTTCACGGTGTGATGGTTGTCTGCCTCTCAGTACTGCTGCGGCTGCCTCGCCGGGTGAACTCGATTGTGTATTGACCGTCCAGCGGATGGCAAGCTCACGGTAACCTCCTACTTAATAATATATAGGATAGCTTTCCTCTTAGCTGTGACGTGGTGTATCTCCGTCACTAACTGAACAGAATACCCCCGACAACTGCGCCAGGGTTCATGGATTTGCTTGTCGTTACCGGTGATGTCTTGGCACTGCGTAGAAGTCTTCTCGCTCTTTACATGTTGAAACGGCCATTCGTCTTCGATTACCCCAAAAGATGCCAATGCCGCGGGGAATGCTGGGAGGTACACTAATTCCCCCGCATATGGGCCTTAAGGGCTCCACATGCCAGCCTGATGCCCGCCTTCCACGCGCTTGCCCAAGGATATAAACTATCTTGTGGCGAAATGATAGGAAACAAGTTCCCGCATCATGGTAAAGTGGCCTGTTTCTGGGTTGAGCGCTGTGTATTCAGTCTGCCATCAGCAAGACGTAATCACAGAAATCGCGCCCAACATAGGCAGATAATCTGCACTCATCGCTGTCACTTGAGGTATCAGGGCCAATTCTCCGCATGTATCGAGTAGCTCTACCAAATCGTAAGCATTTTGAGCTTGGCTACGCACCTAGTTGGCGTTAAGCGGTCCTGCAGGTGCCGCCTTCATGTCTATAGTCACCATCACACCAACGGTGCAGCAAAGGTAACGTTCTTAGTACGCTCTCAGTTTAAGGCAGCTGGTGCTCATGACAAGGGCATGGCCTCCATCAACAGACCTGGAGGCTATGACAAGCCTTGAAATCAACACACTGACAAGCTTTGTTAAATTTGAGTCTAAGGGGTGAAGGCGCGTAGAGGTGAACCAGCCACAGCACCGTAGCTCAGTGGAGGAGTGTGGGCTCGTAGCCTCCAGGTCTGTGGATGGAAACCATGCCCTTGCAGTGCCACACCGCTCACCGCCTTGGGCGATCCTTCAAGCATGGTCAAAGTTTGTATTAGCTGCCAATAAAATAAGTCAATATAATAAGTAAGGATATTATCCAGCCTCACCTTCCAGTACTGCTACCTTGTTACGACTTCACTCCAGTTGTTAATTCTCATTTATTTTCGTAAAAAGGAAATACATAAGAATAAATAACTGGGGCGAAGTCGTAACACAAGCTTTTGAAACAATTAAACCTTATTTAAGTATAGGGACTATGCATATCATGGAAAAACTGCTTTAGCTGCAGCTATTACATACATACAAACGCAGAACCTTATTCAGATATGGCCTTCATGTTGTTATTATGCGCATGCAAGGATCCGCCTTGACACAGAGTACATCAGTTGCTTGCCGCAACATCTCAGTCGTTTAATGCATCGCTTTGAAATACAGCCCTACATATGGAGGCTCGGGGATGCAGATGCATGCCACTGGCTGACCGATTCTCCACAGGCTTTGAGCGTCATCCGGAAACCGCGAGGTAGTCTGGATCAGGCAGCAAGCTGCAAAAGGCCTGTTACTGTATGCTGCCGGGCATGGTTGAATACAACGGGTTAGTGGATGGGTGTGGAATGCAGCAGGGAATTGCGAAATGTGTTTGAGGGTCCATGAGATAGCAAGCCACAGAGGGCATGGTGTCGTCCTTCACAGGTGTCAATGTACACATAAGGACAATAATTATTCAGGGAGGCCAACAATGGCTGCTTAGACAAAAATTGGGATCAGCATTTGCTCACAGCAATGCGCAGTTAGCAATAAAAATGCAAATTGTATGCTGTATGTGTGCGCAAAAATGCATTTGCGCAGAATCACACGGATGAGACCACATCAAGCGAAAACCATGTTCATTCAGGGAAGTAGTATAACAGAAAAGCACATTGCATGCAAGCAAGTACGTATAGCGGTCTTACGATATACATCTGAGATCAAACTAACCCACAAACATACAGACCAACCTGCAAACGCACGCAATGGGGCGGTGAGTAACGAGGAATCCATCAACGAGCACTTGTAGCATTTTGAAGCAGCATCCTTTGCGTTTCGAAGCAGTCTATACTACATGCCGCACAAGACGAGCTGGAGCATATGAACAGCAAACGCGAAAGCTGATAGTGACTAGAAAATAGCTTTCTTAATGGCGGACAAGCCATATAGAATCTTCATTTCTGCACTAAAATGCATTCATCTGAATCTGCACGGGAGCAAGAAGATGGTGGCGACAACACAGCCGATCACGGAGCATCGAGAACAGAGAGAGAAGCACTTCCAGTTACGTGGAGCCCATATAACTGCCCACTTCTCCCAAGGCAACATGAGCAGCGCGCATAGCTCAAAAGAGCCGTGCGTCTTGCCCGCACAAGTTAGGCACACATTGACAAAAACCAACCGTCCATCCAACAGATTTCAAGCGGAGCATAACCAGAGCCAAGCATACTGCAGGGCCAAAGTCAACCGCTGTCAGAATCATCGTCAAGCCATTCTGACTCTCCAAGAGAGCCTTCATCTCTTTCCTGCCTGAAAGCCCTAGAAACCTGAGACTCTGCCGAAGGCGCTCCCAGCTGACCCAAACTCCTAACTTCTCTCCTAGGAATTCCTCGCCCTACTGAATGGAAGTATCTAGGACTCATCATCGTTTGCACTGAAGAACCAGGCACTCCTGAATGAACTCCCTGCTCCATCATTAGCGAAGACGCAGGGGATATGGAAGAAGGCTGCTTGGGAAGGTGAGGTCGTGACGGGGGCGGGGTCATGCTCTGCACGACAGCAGACCTTTCCTGTGGTTGCCCGGAGTAGAGCATCGCAGCACCTGCCGAGGCCGTTGCCTGTGGTGTGGTGAATGGACCCGAAGAGGGTGAAGGAACAGGGAAAAACGCGAACACCCATGGCAGCCGATCGACCTGTTTCGATGTCTGCTGCGAAGTGTCTCCCTGTGACCTGTTAAGTGTCATGTGTGGATCTGGAGTCTGTCGCTGAGGGGTGATGGGTAGGAGGGTAGGCCAGTTGCTGGACCATGGCGACCACGATGGTGTTGTCGCCACTCCAGACTGTCTTGCAGCATCCCAACCTTGCCGTGGTGCCTCCAGTGGCACGTCGGCACCTGCCACTGTTCGTTGCAACCTCGTTCCCAGAGAAGAAGTGGAGGCAGGGCCAGAAGAGGCATGTTCATCCCAGCTTATATTGAGGCTAACGCCCGGTTCGGAAGGAGCTGTGCCCAGCTCAGGCAGTGACTGACCAGGACGATAGGTAACAGTGGTAGCCTGGTATGGCTGGGCATAGCTTTTTAGCTGGCTCTCACCTGTATACATATGACTGAATTCTCCTGTTGCCGGAAGGGTTTCTGGAGCAAGGCTTGCCTCAGTGTTTCCAAAACCACCTGTGCTTATCTCCTTCATGCTTGTGACTCCCTTGAAACTGCTCTGGCGTTGAAACCGTGGGGGAAGAAACCGTGGGGGAGAAAATTTGGAAGATGGTCGCTTGCCACTGAAGTGCGTTTTTGAGGCACTGAGGACATCAGTAGCAGCGCTCTGCGTGACTTGAGACTCGTGATGCCGTGGTAGGTATCCCTCCATCTCACCAGATAATCCGCTTTGGGGAGAGCCTCTCCAGTTTTGAGAAGTTCCATCTGACTGGAGTGTTGGGGGGCTGCTCCGCAAGAGCGGTGTTCTGGCCTGGCGTTCACTGGCAGCGCTCCCACTGGTTCGTGGAGCGCGGTCCATTGGTTTGCCCCCCTTGGCAATGGCCTCCACCATCTCCTGTCGAGTCTCGTCTACGGTCTTTTTTTTCCACTCTCCAACTTGAATGAGTTCGGCAACTTTCTCGTCTAAGGTTAGTTTGGGACGTGCGTCTATTTTAGCGATCCTCTTAACTTGCACGAGCAATCCCCGGCGATTTGTCGTTTCAATGGCTCGCAGCTGGTGGCTCAAATGTGAGGACATGAACACCTGAGCACGGCGGAGATAGACGATTCGTCTCACTTCCTCCATAACTTCATTTGTGAGTTCCAAGCTAAGCTCCCCCTCGGGATTGGAACGTAACACCCGTGAAACTACAGCATCGATGAGTGAGATAGCCAATTCCTGGAGGTGCAGAAGTTCTTCCAGCATCTCCAGGCGCAGGCTTCTTGTGAGAGTAGGATGCACGGGTGTTCCACGGATTATATGTCTAGCAGCGTTCATGACGCGATTTGTATGTGTTTGCTGCTGGAGCGAGTCGCGATCCTTAGAAAAATTCCTCACCATACGACCTTCCGCTAAAACAGTCTCCATCATCTCAACCTTCCGTCGATCGAACTCCCCTCCTAGCAGCGTTGACAAGGCGGCGACTTCTTGAATACAAAATCCCGCGGAAAGATCGAGTAACTTCATTGTAAATGGATACGGGAGCTCGCAAGCAACACACGATAAGTCTTTCGTCACCTTTTCCAGTTTTTCCATCACAGCGTCAACCCGCTGTTGCATGCTAGGTGGAATGCCATTACCAGCAGCATCAGGTGTCTCATCGCCGTCCACGTCTGCTCCCCCACACGGCGTTGTACCCCATGCCCCTTCCCCTTCAGCCAACGACCTCAGGTGTGCTTCTCCAGGGCTTCTCCCAACGGTTAGCTGACGATGACAGCGGAGTAACACAAATGTCGCAGCAAGGGTAGCCAAAAGGAGCAGAGTCGCTAAACGTATATTCCGGCGTGGTCGCCAGCGTGGAAGCTTTGCAGAGGAGTGAACTGCAGCCGCATTCGCCTGAGCATTCCCTTTTTCCAGGAATTCATCCCCACCTTTGTGTGGAACAGAACTGGTATCCATGCTATCAAGGCGTCCAACTCCACAAGTACTCGAACTTGTTGTCTCCGTCCGCCGGCATGGAGCCGCAGAGAAATGAGTCGTCCCCTCAGTTGAAGAACCTCTCTAGTATCAATTACACATAAACATTGGCGAGAATAGGCATATCAAGCTGGATCATGAAGCCAAAGAGAGAAGCATGAACCCCTTTATGACAGGCTCCAGCGAGGTCGACGCTGGTGAGTGTTACAGCAAAATGAACACACTACAGTCAGTCAACACTTCGGAAGAAGTGGACCTAAAAACCTCATACACCTACTTGAAGACAAACGGAAATGCAAGCGAATGGATATCTCGGCTCCTTTCAGGGAACTGTACAGCGGACACAGACGCCTCTCCGTGCAATGGCCTCCTAATTCTCGGGCATCGATAGGTACGGCCCCCCATTTATTGTTTCAGCTCTAGTTCAAACATAGGTTCGTCGAAATTACCCATTAAACACTCATTTATTTTCTTTCTGAATTGTTAAAATCTATTAGGCTGTAGTTGTCGCTATAACCTCCTGCTAGAGCACTAGCATAACTGTCTGCCTCCCGATCCACTCCAGCCCAGTAGACTGGGTTGCAGCAGTTCGCTTTTACCATGGACAGCTAGGTGGCCTTCTGATACATTTCAACAATCTTATACAATCTGTAACACATACTATAGAATTATGCTTTCCTTCGCTGTTTCTGCGTTGGTACTCCAACTTCACTCGCGTTCAACTGTACTGCGTAAGAA